GGCAGAGAAAAAAAAAAACAAAAAAAAAACCCCTTCCTCCACAAGCGCTGGAGGGAGGCCCAGGAGACGCAGGGGAAGCGCGGGGCCAGGGTGAGTGAGAGTCCGGCCTGGCCCCGAGCAGGCAGGACTCAGTCGGGCGGTAGGGAGAGTAGGGGGGTGGCCCACGGGGCCAGGCGGCGGCTGTTCTCCCCCCCTGGGCAGCGGGACTCGGGAGCAGCCGCTGCTGCAGCTCCCACTGCCGCGGGGGGAGGAAGCGGCCGATGGCCAAGCTCGGCGGCTGCGGCTCTGGCGCCCAGGCCTGAACCCCCCGAGCCTGCTGCGGGGACCCAACAGCGCACATGCTGCACCCGGCCCTTGGCCAGTCGCGTCTGGGCTGCTGCCCAGCTGGTGCTATCCCGCAGCGGCCCCGGAGTGGGGGCAGCAGGCCCCAGCCCCACCCCGTCCCGCTCAGGTCCCGCAGAGGAACGAACGGGCCTGGGCTGCTGATGCCTCCGCCCCGGGGCCGCAGCGGGATTGCACCAGCTGGGCAGCAGCCCAGACGCAACTGGCCAGGGGCTGGGCGCAGCGTGCGCGCTGCTGGGTCCCCGCAACAGGTCCAGGTTCGGGGGCGCCAGAGCCGCAGCCGCCGAGCTTGGCCATCGGCCGCTTCCTCCCCCCGCGGCAGTGGGAGCTGCAGCAGCGGCCGCTCCTGAGTCCCGCTGCCCGGGGGGGAGAACAGCCGCCGCCTGGCCCCGTGGACCACCCCCCTACTCTCCCTACCGCCCGACTGAGTCCTACCTGCTCGGGGCCAGGCCGGACTCTCACTCACCCCGGCCCCGCTTCCCCAGCGTCTCCGGGGCCTCCCTCCAGAGCTTGCGGAGGGAGGAGGAAGGGCGAGCCTGGGGAAGAGGCGGGGATTCGGGGAGGGAGCCAATGGGGGGAGGAGGGGGCGGAGTTGGGGCAGGGGGGGGCGAGCACTTTCGGGCTCCGGAGTATTTGCTTGTTTGTCCAGTGTCCCTACCGCACATCGGTCGGGACGCGGGACAAACAAGGCAATATCAGGACAGTCCCGATAAAATCGGGACGTCTGGTCACCCTAGGCCCTGCCCACATTAACAATACAATTGATAAAAGCGTTCCTGGCGAGGACGTGCACCGCCAACACAAGAAGCCAAAGTGTGCACACACAAGTGATTTAATAACTGCAGTGGCTGTCTACTGCTGTAAGTTAGGTAGACAATTTTATAGTGTAGACATGGCCTTAGACAAGCACCAGAGCAGTGCTAAGGCCTGCCACTTGCCTAATTCTCATTGATTCTAGTGAGGGTTGGGTCTCTAAATCCCTTTGAGATCTGGGTTTAAGCACCCATGCCAAGATTTTCAAGTGTGACTAGTGGTTCTGGGTGCCTCCATTTTTGGGGGGTGCAAATTGAGACACTAAAGGGACCTGAGATTTCAGAAAGTGCTGTGCATCCACTCTATCAAAATCCGGCCCCATGAGGTGTCTCATGTTGGGCACCCTAAATCACTAATCAATTTGCAGGAATCTTAGTCTTTAAACTTAGATTGTGAGGTCTTTGGGGCAGTCGTCTCATGATGTGTGTGCACAGAACCTAGCACAATGGGGCCTCCAATAAACAGACTGCATTTAAAATGAAAGATAGTGATGGATCAAGGCCTTAGCCTACACCTGCACTTTCCCCACCACTTAGGTGCTGTACACATACATAGTAAACACACTTTATTTGGAACCCTCCTAAAGATATTGTCTGTTGACCTCTAAGATCTGTACTCAAACCTTCCAGCTATCTCCTGTCTCCATAATGAGCCAGACAGTCCTGAACATTGAGGAAGTTCTTAACAGACTGACCCACAGGATCCAGCTATGTTCATGGCATACTTGCAGAGAAGTCAGATAAAAATATCAAATACTCCTGCTAGACAGTTGCACTGTAACACTACTTTATTTTTTAGAATCCAGAATAACAACACACAGTAATCAAAAGCAGAGACACAAAGCTGGATACTTCCTGAGGCAGAGAGGCCCAGCTCTCCCCACCTTATTCTAGGCTGACTGCCTGCTTGCTTCAGCTCCCTAGCCTGCAGGTAGACCAGGAAACAGCCCCCGACCCCTGCCCACTCTTAAAGTGACAACTTGCAATTCCAACAGTCCTCAATAAAAGACAGGTTCCCCTCTTTGATGTACACAGCATACATGCCATGTGGTAGGACTGAACAGCCCCTTGCTCCCTGGAGCTAACTGTCTTCTCTCACAAGGCACCAATATAAAAACACATTAAGCAATATTTTCTAAAGTAACAGAGGCCTACTAGTTGGGTGGATCTTTGAAAAGGGGCTGGCACAGGCCAGCTTGGGGCAAGGAGCTGAGGGGCGGCTACAAGAGCAGGAGAGTTCTGCAAAAACTGGAGTGGTGACAGCCACATTAGCCATCTGACAGCCACATTAACTGTCTGAAAAGTACTTTTAATCTTTTGTGAAATGGAGCCTCAGTTTCCCACTAAAGGGAGCATTGACATAAACCCAAGAGTAAATTCTAAAGAGGCTTAAGAGGAAATGAAGCTGTCTCTGTGGTTCGTTCTTCTTTTTTAATATCCTCACTGGCTGAATGGTGAAGCTCTAAGTCAATGCCCAGAAGCTAATTTTTTGTAGCTGTACGAATGCAGCAGTGATTTATGCTAGAAGAGGGTACAGTGCATATTAATGGAGCAGATAAATACTGCAGCGTGTCAAGAACAGCAGCTACTAGAACTAGGATGATGCAAGATAGGCCATAAGGCAGGTTTTGTACAACAAATGGAGGATGGATTGAAAACCTTTTAAAAGCCATGG